GAAGGAAGTTGACAGAAACATAAATTGATCAACTACCACAAATTTGGACCGATTTTGAATCGAAATAAAGGCTGCTTGTAGAGTTTCTCAAAAGCAGGTAGTTTTCAGAAAACAGCTGTTTTCTGTTTTACATTTTAAAAAAACAGCTGTTAACAGCTGCTTTCTGCTTTTATTGGAATTTACAACAAAATATTCTAATTGCAAGCATTATATTTTATTATATTAAAATTTAAGGAACACGAGTGATTTCAGAGATTCGTCCAAACGAATTCACACGAGTGAATTCGTCCAAAAGGCGTGATCAAATCTTTGTACAAAAATCTTTTGTTGAAATTGAAAAAACTTGTTTAACGTCTGTGGACGTCGGTTTAATTGTAAGGAGAGCCTCATATAGTTTTTTCAAATTTTCTGTTCTTTTTGCTGTGTTCCAAAATAGAAAAAATTTCTGTTTTAGCCATTTGAACTCATTTGATGGCTGTTGAAATGGAAGTAACTTTTTCCTTTCTCAGCAATAAATTATACTCTTCTTGAAGAGATATTGAAGCTGGACTAGCCTGATGACCTTCAGAATCACCAAAATCAGAAGTTTCTTCATCTCCTCGAAAACCGAAAATTCTTTTTGCCAATTTTCCAGCAAAGAGCAAAGTGTCTTTTGATGTAATATTTTTGGGATCTCTCGGTTATCTTGATAAGTTTATTACATTGTCATTCCACCTTTCACTCGTTTGCTTCTTGAGATTTTCATATAACGCCTTGTTGTTATTAAAATTTGAAAATTTTTCTAGCATAAAGCCAATTACAGTATCAGCTGTCAAAAAAAACGCTTTTGACAGTATCAGCTGTCAAAAGCGTTGAATTTTCATGACTCAGTGTCTCAACAGCAATTTTGATTGGCTCCATAGCATTAAATTTGCAATTTGATTGGCTCCAAAGCAGTTTGCATTAAATAAAAATTTACCTTATTGATTAGATCAAGCATATTTAATTCAGTTAATGTCTCAAACAGGAAAAGTTTTGTTTTAATCAGTGGATCAATCATAGTGAGGATAGAATTCCAACGATGTTGAGCGTCAAGGTGCAATTCGATTCCAGCTCCAAATGCTTGAGTTAGTTTTGACTAAAATATTTGATTTCTAAAGGTCGAATTTCTGATATATTTGAAAACATAACTTTTCAAAACAGAATGGAAATCGACTTCTGAATAGTCTCTTTGCACAACTTCCGTGTCATTATTTTTAAAATTGTCAACTTAATCTTCATCATCAGAGTCCAAATTTAACTCGCTTGAACTAATTTGTTCGTTTTTCTTATACAAAGTGTCAGTTACTTCCAATGCTATTATTAATGCAATACTGGTCAATAATCTTGACAATTTTCATATATTTCTTCTTGATTGCTGCACCGTCTTGTGTTGATCCTACTAAATCTTTTTCAAATTCAATTGAAAAACTCTTTAAGTGATATTTTTCTTCATTTGATATTTTTTCAACCATTTCTTTGCGTTACACGAACCATAGAAGCAAAATAATCCCAATTTGTATGTTTTTTTTCTTCACTGCAGATTTATTCTAAAGAAGCGGCGGCGGCGAACAGTTGTATACTTGTCAACACTTATACTGAATTTTCTTTCTTTTCCAATTTTTGAAACAATTTCTGAAGCCATTTGATTTTTCTTGTTATGAAAATCAGCGTTAATAAGCTTCATTACCCCGTTCTCATATCCTTCTTTTTTGATTGCATCGCAAATGAACTGATTTCTGGTGATAGCTCTAATGGATATTCTGTCTGTGGCCATGCCAGAAACTATTTCATTTAAGCTCTTACGTTGAACAAAATCAAGCATTGTTTTAGTTTTTTTTCCTGCTACGACTTGTTCAGGAGGAATTTTTTCAGTTTGAGACCAATCAATTCTATGCTTTGATTTTAAATGAGCCTTTACCTCATTTTTTTTTTTTTTTTTTACCATTTAAATTTATTCAAGTCGTAAAGCATAACATATATACAAGTAGCAGGGGGAAGAAGAAGACATAATTTGTTTTATCATCAAGCCCCTTAATCTATACCGTAAATATAAAATAGCGTAATAAATTTAAAAAAAACGTAATACAATAAAACACTTTCTTAAGATTTTATAAATAAAAATGATAGTTCCTAATGTTCTTTAACTTTAACTTTTTAGTTTTGTATTGGTTATGAAAAATTTAAATACAAATTTAAAGAAAAAAAAAAGAAAAAAAATGTCTAGCATAATAAAAACTCTATTATTAAAAAGCATGCAGGCAAATACGCATAATCCTGAAGCTTTCCTTTTACACCAGCAGATACCTTAAATTATCTGGAGAATTTTTATAAATCATAAGTTTTTATAAAAGAAGAAATGAATCAGTAACAAGTGACACGATCCTTTCTAAGATCGTCAAGCTGATAATGACAAACCTCTAATTACTTATTAGTAGCAATCATTAATACTTCAGAAAAAGCTGAGCTTCATCAATAGTTTTTGCTTCAATTTGTTTTTAAACTCATTAAGCGTTGCAATTGATTTAAGTTCATTTGTTAATATTTTATTCCATAATTTTGGTCCTTTTGTAGAAATTGAAAATTCAGTCAAAAAATTTCAGCAAAATACCTTTTGGGTTGAATGTAACTGTTATTTGAAAATCTGGTTAGATATCTGTTCTGATTTATTTTGAATAGAGGGTAGAATATTTTCGGAGATATATTCTTATTAATTTTGAACATAAATATAAGAAGATGATAGATATTTATTTGGTAGACATTCATTATATTTAAATTAACAAACAATTCTTGGGAATGTGTAAAATGGCCCACATTGGATATGATTCTGATTGCATGTTTTTGTTTGTTAAATAGTTTTTTTATTTTATTTTTATTTGTACTGCACCAAGCAATGTTTGCGTAATTAAGATGGCAATGAATGAATGAGAAATATAAAAGCTTTAAGCAAGTTGGATTTAAAAAAGGCTTTGCTCTACAAAGTAGGCCAATGATCCTTGAGATTTTATTTTCAAGATAATGTATGTGATCTTTCCACGTCACATTTTCATCAAGAAGTACGCCAAGAAATTTTAATGTGGTTTCTCTTTTTATGTCCTGATTAGCAATACAAAGTTTTGGAAGTTTTAAAGGAATTTTTTCTTGATCGTGAAAACGATGGAAAAAAGTATATTTTGTTTTGGTTACATTTAGAGATAATTTGTTTGCATTAAACCATTCAGTAAGATTTAATAGCTCTTTGTTTACTGACTTAAACAGAATATTTATATCGTTATGTTAGAATATTATATCGCAATATTTGTATGTTTAATACCATAGTTTTCTAATTTTGTTAACAAAATGTAATGGTCGACAGTGTCAAAAGCCTTACTGAGATCAATAAATACACCTAATGTATATTTATCTCATGAACAAGATGAGCAATGCCCTGATCAGTAGAGTGCCTCTTTTTAAACCCAAATTGCTTACTATAAAGAATATTGTTTGCATCTAGAAAGGAATACAATTTTTTATACATAATGTGTTCTAATAATTTTGAAAAGCATGATAGTATAAAAATAGGTCTGTAATTAGTGATACTAGTCTCATCTCCTGATTTTAGTATAGGTATGACCCTTGCATCTTTAAGTTTATCAGGAAAGATTCCTTGTTCTAGAGAGGATTCATTGTTCTAGAGAGTTGAAGCGAATGCAAACTCCTTTTATATCCTTAGTCACACGATTTTTTCGTTTTGTTGCAAACTCCCGAACAGATGAGATCTCTATTGAATTAAGGTGTACATTATATATACATATATAACAAATATTCTTCATAATAAGAATAATATCTACTTCCTAGCGAAAAAATGAAATAATTAATCACAAATTCAATTAGCTAAGGCAGTAATATCTACAACTCAACCTCATTGATATGTTTTGTATTTGTAGGAAAAAAATCAGTATTATGTTTTGTTTAACATTTATTTCTATATTATATTAAACTATTACAAGTAGTTATATTATGTTAAAACCAGTAGTTTTTCTTTGTAGTTTTTCGTATCGTTATTTCAACTCTGCTAAATTTAGCATTACGGCTTTTATTCCATTCGTGCGAGAATTTCTCGTGCGGAATGAATCTCTTATGGGAATAATTTTGCAGGTATTTTAGAGTTTTTCATATAATTCTCTAAAGGAAACTGCTTGCGCTTAATGATTATTCTAAACAATCTTTAATGATTATTTTAAGCGAGTATTAGAAATGGTTGTCCGTAGAAAAATGGTTTCGTAACAATCGTTACACTCGCTTCACAAAACAAATATTTTTAAGTTTAATTCATATAGTTTTTATCATAGAGATGTTAAGTTTAATAATTCATTTAAACGATAATTCTTTAATAGGGGGTGCTATTTAAATTGCCTCCTTATTCTCGACCTCTAAATTATTTATATGATGGAACATTTTTTTTTTTTTTGACGAACTTAATTCATTTTTTTACTCAATAATCTTCTAAAACTAACAATTATTAGGATAAAAAAGTTTAGATTTCAAAAACTCAGATTTCTAGAAAATATATCATTACATATTAAACATTAATCTGTGTTAATTATTTTGTCGCCACTGTATATATACATATACTATGTTTTCCAAGCTTGTCAAGGTCAGATTTAGCTGCTTTTCTTTCTGAGTTTAATTTATTGAACTCACTTTGTTCTGCTGCTGTGCGGTCAGCGCGTATAAATATATCTTTAAAATTGCCGAAGTCTAAAAACCAAAGTTTTTTTATTTAGTCTTTATAATGAAAATTTATGTTGAAAATTTAATTTTAGTTTAAGAAAATCTATTAGTTTGATCATTTGTTTAAAAATTTCTTTGCGAAGTTAGACCCGTAAAATATTTCATAGAAATTTGTTTAAAATTTAAGATCTCCCCCGTTATTATTACGCAATTTTAATCGTCCCGTAGTTACCCCGCTTAAACTATAACACAAACCAAAATCCTCTGTATTAATTTAATGTACTTTATTAAACTTTTTGACTTTGTGGTATATACAAAATAACTGTCATAATTTGTCAGAAAATCAGTTAAGAGCGCGAATCAGTTGCCCAAAAGCACACGGACTGTACCATAAAAAAACAACCTATCTAATAATTTCTAAGCTTTATATGGTATAGCTAAATCTGTTGATAAACAAAATAATTGTAAAAATTGAAAGCTAAATTAACTAAAAAGTCAGTCACAAATACTGCAAAAATATATTGAAATTTAAAATTTCATTCGATTCAAAATGTATAATGGGACTTCAGATTACGATAGATTTTTAATTATAAACAATAAAAAGGTGCCAGAGTAACCTTGGTAACGTTTAAAACAACAAAAATATTTTCCGTTGAGATAAAAAAATTATGAGCTATTCGAAAGGAGAAATCTAGTGCTAACAAAAACGGGAAAAGTCCAAGTATCATCTAAAGTTAATAATGGCAATTCTTCATCGGTATGGAAATTCCACAAAAGAATACCAGTATCTAACGCTTTGAGTTCTTCTCCGTTGGTTTTTATAGTAAATGCCTTCAGCCTATATCAAAATAAATACATATCGATACATCACTATTATGGTAAAAAAAAAGTTCTTCAAAACTCTTACTAATTCAAAAAAAAAAAAAAAAAATTTTTACTTAATTTATAGTTTTCAGAATATTATAATAAAAATAATTAAATATGGTCTTTTTTTTAATCAAAAACATTTTGATTAAATTGGTTCCCGCCTTTATCGAGAATTGAATCATTGGAAACTTTTGTTTTCTAAATCAGTTTGTATTGGATTAAATTAGTCTCCGCCTTCTCTTTAGAGAAACGGGTGCTCAGAAACTTGTTTTCTAAATCAGTTTTTAGTTGAAATTAACAAATAAATTTAAGTTATTTTTAAACAAATATGTTTTTTTTTACATTAACATTATTTTACATCATAAATTTTTTGGAACAGGTAACAATAGATGTTACAAAAGCTACAATGTAAACGTAAAAAAAACATTCAAGTATTTTGATTTATATACAAAATAATTTATATACAATAATACTTATAAATATATTATTGTATTAGGTATTACAATATATGTAAATATTATAGTATTATAAATATTATAGTATTATAGGAAAAACATTTAAAATGCACTTTTGCATTCTAAATTTTATACCTATACAAAAAAATAAGGGAACCCAATCTACAGTATCTAGGATTATTAACTCCCCTACACTCAAGTGTAATGGGAGTTAAGGGTACTATGTAGGATGTTATGTACTTTAGGGTAGCTAAAATTTTGTATTTAATTGTAATTAAAACAAACTATAAATCAAAATGAAACATTAAAGTTACCTTAATACGACTGCTCTTTGACTTTGAAGGCAAACAGCAAAGTTACATGGTTGACTATACGTATTTCTTTTTACAGATAAAATTTTAGTTCTGTTATTATAAATAAGTATAATATCAATACCAAATGAAAAAAGACCTGTCCATCGCCAGCAGTACTATAAAATTTAATAAATGATTATTATCATTTGTCCATCGCCAGCAGTACTACAAAATTTAATTAATGATTATTATCATTTGTCCATCACCAGCAGTATTATAAAATTTAATAAATATTTATTATCATTTTATTCTGATTGCATTAGTTTAAATAAAAAAAAAAACTAAATATTTAATAAAATAAATTAATTTTATAACAATATAATTAAGTATGTGGTAATAGTATTTCATCTAAAACCCTTTAAATTTTAGTTTCAAATTTAAAATAAGTATATAAAAAATTTTAAAATAATATATTATATAATATCTTAATTTTTAAATAATTATTTTTTTTACATTAATAATTTTTTAAGTTAAATTAATTAATTTTTAAATAATAATTTTATGCATAATTTTAAACAAAAACAACAACTACATCTTTTGATACTGTTAAATTCAAAATAAAATGTAAAGATCATTAGGGAAAGAATCAACTTTGTACCCAGAGTTCTTAAGTATAATGGCATCAATAGCATAAAATGATTATGAGACTTTTAATAAAAACTTTTACCCTTGTATCAGTTTCAAGGATCCTACCACAACGACATGCTTGCTTGTAAAATAAATCTTCAACTATTTGTTTAGGACCAGTATCTTCTCCATTATATACAGATAACATTGACTTCCATTGTGATTGGTAGACAGGCATTAACCAATCTAAAACATAAACATTGTAAAAAAATACTGAAATAAATGTTGAAAACATCTTTAAATTAATTTTTAACAGATGATAATTTTTTTATATAGTAAAAATTGAGATATTTATATCATATAAAATAATGTTAGATGACAATTATAAAATTTTTACAGATATTTATAACTATTACAGATATTTATAACAAGAAAAGGCTTTTTGTTTAAATTCATTTTAGCACACTAAAAATAAAAAAATAGAAAACTTTTATTTACTTCTATTGTTTAAGAAAAAATGAAAAATAACTCATAAAACAAGTGTTAAAAAAACAGACAAAACAAAAGTTTTGATATAGTCACAAAGATAATGAGAAAATTGGGATTTTTAGAAAGATCTAAATAAAAGACCTAAATAAATCTGTAAAAATTCTTTGAATTTGATGACTATTTGAATTTTAAAGAACTAAAATTTCATAAATGATTTGGTAAAACTTTAATGAATATAAATATTATGGAGATATAGAGAAATTATGAAGATATAGAGAGCATGTAATATGGCAATATAGACAGTCATTATAGATAATTATAGACTAAAATTCAAAAAAGCAAAATTGATTAAGTGTAAATATTTCTACTAAAACAGTTTGAAATTTTACAATTTTAAAAGTCCAAAAAAACTTATCATAAATAAGAAGAGTAATACAAAAATAAAATGATAGTTTAACAAAATAAAATGATAGTTTAACAAAATAAAATGATAGTTTAACAAAATAAAATGATAGCTTAACAAAATAAGTAATACAAAATGATAGCACCCTTAACAAAATATAAAAAACATTTTTAATGCTTCAAACAAATTTTTTGCTGGGATTTCTGACCAAGAAGATAAACCTGAAATTGCAATAATAATGATAAAACTAACTGTGGTTACTAAAAATGCAGACTGACTTTTAGGGGTAATTACCTCATTAGTTTTTAAGCTGGAGATTAAATGAAAATACCATTAAATATAGTTTTTAGTTTTTCAATTAGATTTATCTTCAACCAGCTCATCTCTTAAAATTTACCCAAGTTGTGTCACAACTTGTTTGTCTTTCAGTTGGCTAAATCTCCAAGACGAGTTGACCAAAAAATAAGTTGAACACAAAAAAAAAAAGAAGACAAAGCTTTATTCTGGTTTGTAGTTGCTTCATGTCTTTTGCTTGTCAGTTACCCTTTTACTTTTTTCCTATTCAAAATAGCCCAAAATTCTTTGATTGGGCAACACTCTGGCACGGCTAGTGAGTTGTCAACTTTTTTGACACAATTGATGTCATGGACCTTGTAGCAGTTGATTACAGTTTTGGTGTAATGCGATGATGCCAGGTCCAACCAAAATACATTATTGTCATTGACCTGATAAGCGTTGATGTATAGCACTAATTTCCCTTTAATAGAGTCATTCATAAATGGATATTGTTGACTGCAAGGATGGTAGGATGGAAAGACAGCTTGGAAAGGCCTTTGTCTGAAACAGCAAACCAGACAAATGTTTTACATGCACCTGAATTATTTTCATGTTTTATGTATTATAAACAGCAGCAAAGCAGTAAAACCTTTAAGTTTTATGTATATGCTAAAACATTGAGATTAAAAAATGTATATAGTGTTTTTATTTTGTTACCATGGGTTATACTTTTACTCATTTCTAAAGTTGCCCAACTCTTAAGAGTTAAAAATTTATCCCATTGAAAGAAAATATGTACGCTATCATAATATAAAATAGTTTAGGCTTCTTAAATGCATTTAAAAATGTAAAATATAATTTACATTCCAATACATCAGCAATATAATTTATTTATTATGCAATAATCTACTCAACATAACATTGTTTAATACTTTAGTATTATTTTTTTAAATTGTGCAAACTTTGGTCATTGGTTGCAATTCACAATGTAGAAACTAAAGTTAAATCTCAAATGTTGTGTTAAAATGAGAAACTAAAAAGATTGATATTTGAAAATATTATACAAATGTCTTATACATTTTAGCTATTACTTTTTAACATAACAAGTAAAAAACTGTGAAACTTTCACTGAGAAGATAAAAGCTACTTAATTAGTTTAATCTCTAATTGAGATATGGTACTGACATCCAAGATGTTGACAGTGTTTTAACAAGAAAAACCTGGCACCAAGCAAACATCATCTCAATTTGGTCATTTGTACAATCAATTTGTCCTAGTAACAGAAGCTGCTATAAACAATCTATCAGCAAGTTTGTTATGTAAGAGCTTTATTTCTCAAGCAGTGACATGATCTCACTGTTTAAATTTTGACAGTATTTAAACATTGATTTAGCATTGGTTGAACTCTGGGAGCTAGCCAAAGTAAAAAACTATGGGTTGTTGCAAACAAATTCCAGACGCAACCAACTGAAATTTTTTTTTTTAAATTACTGTCTATAATGAATTTTGGTAATTGTGGGACAAAGATTAGTAGATTAACAGGTGTATAACTTTATTGATAAATCAAGCATAATGGTTTAAACCGTGTATGCAAAATAAAGATTTTTTTTCATCCAAGAGATGACAATTGAATAATAAAAACATTGCATTTTGCTCTAATGGTAATCTATTTTGTCTTGTACTAATAAAGTGTAATTCTCAGCAAAATCTGCTAGAAAAACTGCCTTTCCAAGAGTAATTGTTTCTTTGAGATACATAAAATGGCTTGTTTTTAATTTTACAATATATGACTGAAAAGTAACTTAATCAAGCCTTTCACAAAGAAAAATATTACAGCTCTGTGAAGGTATTTTATGGAAGCTTCATTGCAAATAGGTCATTTTGGTTGCTGTTTATAATCAACTGTTAACATTTCCATCACTTTTATATTGCTCTTCTGAATCATCATTTTCATGTAAGATACTGTTAGAAGAAATTTTGGGTAGTTTAGCTACTGTTATAAAATTTTTTGGGTAGTTAAGATACTGTTATAGGAAATTTTGGATGGTTTAGATACTGTTATAAAAATTTTGGGTAGTTTAGATACTGTTATAAAATATTTTTGGTAGTTTATATGGCAGGGCACTTGTCGCATTAGTGAAATTTTTGATTCTCTACTGCAGACAACCATTTCAATAATTTTATGGTAAGGCCTTTCAAGACTTACAAAAATCAACGTTAATTTGACATTTTGGTGTATTGTACAAACAGAATGTGCAGTTTTTGAATCAGCAAAAAAGTCAAATAATGGAAATTTTGGATATTCCATTTTTATAGTCTAGGTATTTTATCATATATGACTTTTTTACCTTTCCTTGCCAAATATTTTACAAAGACTTTGTGACAACATTCTGCAACATTTACTGGCAATATTTTAAATTACATTCAGACTTTAGTAAATAACAATGATAAAAAAATTAAAAATAGATAGAATAGTTAGAAAAAACCAGGAATTGGTGAAAGCATAACCTGTTGTAACAAAACAAAAAATTTGTTTTGGTTTAATAACATATATATAAATATAGCATAAATAATTTATATACATTTAAACAATAATAAAGTTGAATGTTTTAAAATCAAAAAATGATCATCAAAAAACAAGAGTTATCATTGGATTCAGCACCTTCAAAATGGTTTAATCAAAAATAACATTTTTTTCCACTAAAACTATTCATAAAAATAAACCACTACAAAATCATTAAGAATATAATGAGAATGTTAATGTAAGAGAATGTCAAAAGGAGAATGTAACCCGAAAAAAGAAATTTCTAGTCAAAACTTCAAAATGCCCTAAATTAATTCACAGCAGGCTATAAGATAGTTAATGTATTTACTAAAGTACAAGTTGATGTATTTACTATATATATATATATATATATATATATATATATATATATATATATATATATATATATATATATATATATATATATATATATATATACATTTACTACAATAAAAAAATTTACTTTGAGGAACTATAGCATCTTTCTCCAGCAGTAAAATACATTTAGCATCTCCTAACATATTTTCAAATCTCAAGCATTTAAAAACATCAGCATATTGTAGACCCTCTTCACTTGACAGAAAACAGGTTTTCGTTTTTTTTTGCATGCATTGGAAGTACTTTTGTGTGTCTGTAATCAAACTTTTTGGGCAAGAAACTTCTGAGTGCTCGTTACACATTTGAAAATATAACCATATTTTTAAGAAATTATAAATATCCATCTCAACTTGCATCACAGCAAGATTTGGTGATTGGAGTAAGTTTATTAGGAGTTCTTTAGTTAAATATTTTGCCAGAGTTAAAGTTTTGCACAGCAGCATATTTCTTTCAAGCCAAGAAAAACATCTATAATATTAAATTTTTCTAAAAATTTTAGTAATAAAAAAGTAACCAGCGAAAAAAAAAAAAAATGAATGTAGTATTACTTCTTGCTGACTTCTGTCAACCCATATCTCTGAGAGGCATCATAATAAATGCATACATTTTCTGCATTTATAGTCTCCAATACAGTGTCTTCACAGTGCTTTAGCAAACCACCCAAGTCAAACATACGTGCAGCAGCAATTACTGGAATCAAATTTGCAATCAAAACTTCAACATCAACTTCATAGCGGTACATGCTTCCGAACACGATATCTAATGCTAAACAATTTAAATTTTTAAAAAATTAACTTTAAATACTTGTAGAGAGAATTTTTAATCCAGAAAGGTATTTACAGTACTTACAGTAATTAAAGTTTGAAACAAAAATAAATTAAGGTAAAAATAAAAATAAAAAAAACTATACTTTACTATAAGTATAAATATTTTTAAATTAACATTACAAAAACTTTATATAAACCATATATTAAAACTTGGCAGTCTGTGAAATTCAAAGGATTTCAGCTTGGCACTAGAGCGCCGTATTCAGCTGACCTCAGATTGGAAAAATATATATTTGGATTTTTTGCTTTCTGTTACGACAGAGCTAATGATTATTTGATTATAAAAGCATTGCTTTATAAAAGATAGCTA